TCACACCCATCGTGTGCATGGCCACCATCTGAAGTTGTACCTCAAGAGCGATATGGATCCTCTCTTGGAGGCACCTGTTCCTACACCTCTTTAAGCATCCACCCTATTGGCTTCCAGCTAAAAGACGGTAAAGAAGCGCTTGTGGGGAGGCAACCCCACCAAGGTTTGTTTTCCTTTTGTTTGTTTTCGGTTTGTCCACTTGGAACTATGGTTTCTATCACTCGGTGTGTTTTGATGACTCTAGTCCTACTGACTGGTCCCATTTCCAGTCCCCCAGCAGTCCATTTTCCCGGTAAGATCGTTCCCCTTATCTTTACCTCTTCTCCATTGAGGGCAATGTCGTGCTTAAGTGTGTGTGTGTGGGGGGGGGGGGGGGGGGGGGGGTTTACCTTCGACTGCATAGATGAGTTTGTGTGCTTGGAGCCTAGTCCACTGTCCAATTTGATGAATTGAGGGCCACAAGTATTGTTCCCTGCAATATCCTACCTAGTATGCTTTGAATTGACGGTCTTTATGGTGATATGCAACCTAGGGAGGTAGTGTAGTACTATGGAGGATGTTGATGCATTTAAGAAGTTGCCTTTCTTCTTCATATTGTGTTGGTTGATTGTGTGAATTAGTGATCTTAGGACCCTTGAATTGTGTGGTATTGTGGACTCTCTACCTATCATGGACTTTTGTATCATGTTTTGAAAAAAAAAGTGCTCTAAATTGTGCTTTTAAAATAACGCCTCCCATGCGAAAAAGGGTGAAAGTGTGTAAGGGGAGACGGGAATTCGTTCCAAATTTCCATCTACTACCTCCAGTCCTCTTACATTTCTTTCCCCCGCACGAGGCTCGAGACATCTGCTCCTGACATGGCCAGTAAGAGCCGGGTTCCCTCAAAACCTTTAATAGGCGGGAGCCTCGTTTTCTGGAAATAACAGGTAGGGACCCTTGAAAAAAAGTAAACAACAAACAAAGAAAAAAAAAAAAAAGGGTTCCAACCATCTTTAAGAAGAAAATAGAGCACCTTAAAAAAAAAGTGAGTCCATGATCTTTCTGTTTTTTAGAGTCCCTTCGTATACGATTCATTTTTCCTCTGATCACAATTTGCAATGATGCCGACTCGAGATTAGATTTCTCACCGAAGAAGCTAGGAGGTGTCTTGTGTGTCGGTTGACTTCGTAAGCTGTTAAATGATCTAGGAAATCCTCTATCTACGATCGGGGGTGCATGTTGATATAGAGGCTTGGAGAGCTGCATTGGTTTGAAACAGGTTTGCTTGGGGACAAGCAAACGGTTAAGTGTGGGGGAATTTGATGACTTGATATTTACACATGTTTTTTTCCACCATTCTTATACTGTTTGAACCTCGTCTCTCGCATTTTAGGCCGATTCCACGCTAGCTTGTTCTTGTTTTTTATACTTTAGGTCCTGGTACATGAAGGAAGGTTTAGGCCCGAGTTCGGGGTCGATTGGACGAAGTTGGGACGTTTGACGAAAAGCTGAGGAAACCAACGGGCTTAGCTAAATTCCACACGGCCGTGTGACTTGGCCGTGTGGAACCCCTTTGCCCGGGCAAAGCCACACTGGCCGTGTAAGGGCCTTGTTTGGTCGTGTGGGATTTCCAGGGAGTTCACACGGGCAAGCCATAATTCTACACGGCCGTGTGGCCTGGGTGTGATCGGGCAAAACTAGGTTTTTAACCCAATTTTGGGTCTTTGAAGAGGGGGACGATTTTCGAGAGCAAAAACAGAGCCCTAGAGAGAGAAAGTGCGAGGAACAAACCCTAGGAGTGATTTTAGAGCTGGGTTTCATCAATCAAGCTTGGATTTCATCCTTGGAATGAAGATTATCATCCCAGAGCAGATTCTTCCCATTGTTATGAGTATGACTGCTTTGTATTCTGTTTTCCTCTCTCTCACCTGGGTATGAAGAACCCTAGTTCCATGTGTTAGGGATATTGATTGTAATGACTTTTGGATTGCTATACCGTTTGGTTATAATCGATTGATGCATGATTTATTGAGTCAATTGAAGTCTGATAAACTTTTCTTGATTTATGCTGCAACTGAGATAGATAGAATCTAATTAGGTTGTTAGAGCTTCTTCAATTGGTAGTAGTGAATCGATTATACGAGAGTTAGTCGATTCACTACTTTGTACTGGAATCCAATTCCAGTAGAGGAGTTCTGTGTTAATTGCCTCAGCATTCTATCCCGGTGAAGACTAGTCGTCTGCCTGGTAGTTTGTCTGATAGGGCTTGGTCAGCTTAAGAGATTCCAAACTACTGTCTGATCTTCCGCAATTTAATCAACGGTAAATCAACCAAAGGAAATTACAATTTTGACTTAACTAAGGAGCTAGGGCGACTCATTCCCGAGTGACTCTTCCCTTGCTTAAGAACTTCGAACCATTTCCTGCTTTCTTACTGCTTTTATTTGCAATCACTCTCACTACCATTTCCTGCTTTCTTGAAACTATTATGCATTTCCATTCTGCAATTGCACTTGGTCGCAGTTTGGTGTTGTGTTTTAGCGTGTCAGTGGGATCGGCTGGTGGAGAACCATCATAGAGAGTGAGATTGACAGTAGAGCTAAGTGGTGTTGGGGCTGGTTGGGCGTGTGTCATGTCGAACCGATCGAGGATGTCATTAACAAACTTGTGTTGCGAGAGCAGAAGGCCCGTTGAAGTGGGAAGGACCTCAATCTCGAGAAAATAATTGACCTGCCCGAGACGTTTGAGAGAGAACCAGGCGGAGAGCCGATCGTGGAACTAAGAGAGAAGAACCTTGTTGTTCCCGGTGAGAAGAAGGTCATCAACGTATACCAGAAAATAGAGAAGAGAGTCACCCTGATGATAAACAAACAAGGATGCATCGGAGGTCATTTTGGTGAAGTCTTCTTGTTGAAGAAAAGAACACAGCTCCATATACCAAGACCGGGGGGCCTGCCATAGGCCATAGATGGGCCGAGAGAGGCGGCAAACATGATTAGGCCGAGCAGGATCCTGGAAGCCGGGGGACTGAGCCATGAAGATAGTTTCCTGTAAAGAGCCCTAAAGAAACGCATTATTTACGTCAAATTGATAGACAGGCCAATTGTGAGCCAAGGCAATAGAGAACACCATGCGGATAGTGACTGGCTTCAAGACAAGACTATAATGTGTTGTGATAATCAATACTGGGATGCTGCGTGAAGACTTTAGCCACAAGTCGGCCTTAAAGTGATCAACCGACCCGTCAGAGTTGCGTTTGATGCGGAAAACCCATCGACAGCCCACAACATTATGATCAAGTGTCCGAGGTACCAATGTCCATGAATTATTGCGAAGTAGAGAACGAAACTCATCAAGCATAGCAGCAGCCCATCGGGGATCATTGAGATCCTGTTTAACTGTAGAGGATTCAATATCAACAAACGATACCTGGGCCGAGAAGAGTTTCTTTGGCTTAAAGATTCCATGCTGACTGCGAGTGGCCATGGTGTGAGACCGTGGAAGGAAATCCTTCGCCGGCGGTGGATGTGCTTGTTGAGAGGACGTAGCCACGTGAGAAGGAGGGACAGCAGCGGCCGGAGAAGGACGTGGAGAGCGCAGAGTGAGCAGAGATGTTAGTGGAGTTGCTGACGGAGATGGGGAAGGACTGGGGAGAGGGGCTGGTGGAGAGAACAGGTTGTACTAGGAAATAGGAGGGGTTGTATGGGCGACCCAATCAGATAAAGAGATAGATGGGGCAACAAGTGAGGGAAGGCCGGGGAAGGTGGTTTCGACAAACTCGACATGGCGGGAAGCAAAGATGCGTGAGGGATCTTAACATTTGTAAGCACTTTGAGGGTGATGATTGTATTAGAATTATCAAGGTTGATAAACGGATTCACCATAATTTTGAGACATGGTGACCGGCGAAGAAGAAAGAAAAAGAGGAAGAGGGATTTTATGAAGAGACGGTAGGGTTAAGGAGATCGGAGCACAACTCTGATAGCATGTGAATGCTTAATGATGTGTTTTGCATTGAATAGAATTGTGGGATTAATACCCAAAGTTACAACAGAAACTAACGCGACTTAAGCAACACGTAGCAAAAGAGTAGGAGTAGTGAGGCTATTAAATAGGAACTAATTAATATAATTACACGCGACGGAGAGGCACCACGAAGAGGGGAATCAAAATAAGAAGGGACATGCTAAGAACGACGAGGACTGCCGCGGCCGTGAGCATTGGGGGAAGAACGACCACGAGCAGAGGAGACTGCGGTCGTTGGAGCCAACATTGAAGTAGAGAGATGCGCCGCAAATTCAGCCTCGAAGTCGACCAAGCGATCGTGTAGATCTTCGAGAGCAATGGTTGTATCACAAGCGCGAATACCAGCAGAGAGAGGGCCATATTCCTCACGGAGACCCCGAAGAATATGAAGAATGAGGTCTTCATTCGCCACCGGAGGTTGAACAAGAGCCAATACAGCCGTCGTTGAGCGCATAGCTTGGAGATAGACAACAACAGAACGAGAGCCTTGGATTTCGCGGGCAAGTTTCTCCTTGAGATTCATAAATCGTTGTCGTGACTGACTAGCAAACATCCTCTCCAAGATCAGCCAAGCTTCGTGAGAGGATTCAGCAGCAGTGACATATGGCGCAACGCCGGGAGTGATAGAGGCCAGGATAGAGTGGAGAAGAAGCTGGTCTTGACGGAACCAGCGGGTGCGATCGGTGGCCGAAGCATCTAAGGCCGGTGCAGGATGGGAGCCGTCGAGGAATTTGAGGAGATCGAGGCCCCTGAGAATAGTGAAGAGCTGGGCACGCCAGGTGGGGAAATTTTCGCCGGTGAGCTTGTTGGGCAGCTGAGCGGCAGGATTGAGGGTGATGATTGTATTGGAATTATCAAGGTTGATAACGGATTCACCAGAATTTTTAGACATGGTGACCGACGAAGAAGAAAGAAAAAGAGGAAGAGGGATTTTAGGAAGAGATGGTAGGGTTAAGGAGATCAGAGCGCAACTTTGATACCATGTGAATCTTTAATTATGTGTTTTGCATTTAATAGAATTGTGGGATTAATACCAATACAACAGAAACTAACGTGAGCTAAGCAACACATAGCAAAAGAGTAAGAGTAGTGGAGCTATGAAATAGGAACTAATTAATCTAATTACAATAATTAAAAATATTAACATATATCCTTAGCAGAAAGAGCCCTAGAAGTTGACCACATGTGGGGAGGAGTACGCCAGTCGGTGGATGGCCACCTCTTGCTCTAGGGTTTGGGTTTCAGGTGAGATGATCTTCTTGAGAGCGTAGATGGCGCGGGTGGTTCTGTGGCGGACCTTGAAGACAGCGTCGCTGCTTCCTTGGTCGAGGAGGTGGACCTTCTCTAAATCCGTCAGCCTCTTGACTTCTTGATGGTGGTGAGAAGAAGAAGAAGAAGAAGAAGAAGAAGAGGTTGTGGGGTAGGGGGAGAAGCGATGGTGGTGGCGAATGGCTGGAGTAGGGTTGAGATGGAGAGAGAGATGGTAATTCAGCTTTCGGCTCGCGATCGCCATTCTTTCCTCTTCTACTTCGCTGCCCTAGCTAGCTATCGTGGGGAACGGATAAGGTCAGTAACCTTATGGTGAGTAACCATGAGTAACCAGCCTACATTAGCATCCTCTCTCTCCTGGAAAGCCTTTAATTTTCCCATCTTTAATCTTTGACGGGCGATTTCTCACTCATTTTAAGTCGAAATTTAATTTTTTTTTTGCACAGTTAGATCAGATTAATTGTGCTCTTCAAAATGATATCCACTTTAATATATTTTTCGAACAAAAAAAATTGAGCCATTTTTTATCAGTCTATACCATATGGTATTGACTGGTATTGAAATAAAAGCATACCTATGGTTTGAAAAACGTACCATGGTGGTATGAACAAACCAAGACTGTAGGATGGTTGAATACATGATAGTAGAAGTATATTAATTGTCATTTACGACTTTTAACATTGTATACCACACAATACCACCCCGTACCAGGGTGGTATTGTATGGTATTGTGTGGTATTTTTTGGTCCTGTAATTTGTTCACCCAGAAATTTGTAGATCCAATAGATCATGATGAACTCGTCCCTTCTGTGCAAACGTTTTCAGAAACGAATTAAAAACGAAGAAGATATCATACAATACCACCCTGTACCAGGGTGGTATTGTATGGTATTGTGTGGTATTTTTTGGTCTTGTAATTTGTTCACCCAGAAATTTGTAGATCCAACAGATCATGATGAACTCGTCCCTTCTGTGCAAACTTTTTCAAAAACGAATTAAAAACGAAGAAGATACCATATGGTATGCAGTTGGTACCGATAGGCCAGAATTTTTTTTTCTAAAAAAATATTGAAAATTGTTCTCATTTGGTAGAGCACGATGAACTCGTTCCATCTGTGCAAAAAAAATTAAAATCCGAGTTAAAACGAAAAAGATATGAATCGATTAAGAAAGCTAGGAAACATAAAAATGGTCCTTAATTTTCCATCCTTAGATCTGGATTTTCTAAATGAAGGGTCCAGATTTGGTTATTGATGGATTCATAACCCATGGTTATGCACCCTATCTTGAGCCGCTATCGTGCTACTGTGTGTCTAGGAACAGAGATGGAGTTATCAGTAATGGAAGGAAGCCGCATCTTAACGCATGGGAAATAAGGAAAGAGCGGCAATGGTGCATGAGTCCGGTCAGATTCAAGAATTTTAAATAGGTGTTTCCCTCTCAGAAATTAAATTTAATTAAATATTAAAATTAAATTAAATAATTATTAAATATAAAAATATCTGACCAATAAAAGTAAATATCGTGTTTCGTAAAATATTAAAATATATTCGGTGTCTATACTCTCAACAAATATCTCTCAACATATCCTATTAGACAAGGGTATCTAATAATTGGGTTCAATCGTTAAGTTTTGAAAATAATTCAGGATAAGAATAATATTTTACTATTATTATGGATCTAAAACAGAATAACAAATGAGTAATTGTAAATAGGTTTACGAATAATGGCAGTGTCTCAAGTTTAAATCACATAGACTACTACTTAAATATTATTTGTACCAATACGCAAATTACTATGGGAGGTTGGATAATCATTTCCCAAATTTTAAGGGTGTCCCACTACCACTTAAACATTTGTTTGCTTATACGCAAACTACTATCGGAGGTTAAATAATCGTGTTTCCAAATTTTAGGGACACCCCTAAACATGCATGTATGTACGTTCACCCTTTATAATCCTTTCATCGCCATGAAAGGTTTCATTAATTGTATTTAGGAATTGACAATGGGCAGGTTTGGTGCGAGTATCACGATATCCATACCCGTCCTGTGGCAAGTTAGGTCCATGTTGCGTAATTTATCATGGATCATGGGTCGGGCCAGGTCTACCCAATGGATATGCAATTTTTATGAAAAACATTATAAATAATCATTAATTAAGACCAAGAAAACAAACCAATGATAAATGTGGTTAAATTATTGAAGACATTTAGGTTTTCATTAATTTCCAGCTTTATACTTATAGCTAATTTCCAACTTTATAATTTATTATAGCTGAAATATGAGGTAATAAAAGGAAAATTATAAGTAAGTTGGTTAATATTATATGTAATTTAGACAAAAACGAGTCGAGAATGGGACGGATCAGGGCAGCTCGGGTCGATGAGAATACTCATCCGCCCCACCTCACCAACAGGACGGGTCGAACCTAGGGATGGCAACTTTGCCCATACCCATGGGTTTCTTACTATCCAACCCAATTGGGTTGGGTATGAAATCCAAATAGATGGATATGGGTAGAGTTTGATGGGTTTGTACCCATACCCATTTACTTTGGGTTGAGTTGGGTTTATATCAAATGGATATTGGTTTGTACCCATGCCCAAATACAAATTACAGTTTGGTACCCAAACTTAATAAACATGCATATTTAGTACCTAAATTTAATTTTTTTTGCATATAAGTCCTCAAAATATCGATGAAAAATTACGTTTTGGTACCTAAATTTTTTTGGTCTTACATTTTGGTACCTAAACTTTTCAAGTTTTGCAAATAGGTCCAATTTTTACATGTGTAGTTAAAACACCCTCAAGTAAATGGATATCCATATCCAACCCATACCCATTTAGATTATGGAAGCCCCAAACCCAAACCCATCTATAAACCCCCAAATCCATATGCACTTCACCCATACCCAACCCATTATCAATGGGTCTACTTGGGTTTGGGTATAATTACCCATGGGTGGGTAATTTGCCATCCCTAGTCGAACCCGCCCAAAATAAATCAAACAAGTCGGATAAAATAGATGAGGTTGAAATTACATGTAATCGCATCTCTATTTCTCATCACTGTCTCTGGTTTTTTTCACTCGCAAAATCAAGTTTTTTCCACCACCACGGTTTATGCTCTGAACAGATATAGCTGTGATGTCGGTGGCGGCGAATGCATCAACAAGAGCAGCTGTCGATTATTGCAGGTCGGTTTCCTACTCTTTCTAACTCTCTTTTCCACGCGTGCTACAAATCCAATGGCTGCTCAACGCAGGGCCGGGTTTAGTCACCTATCTTTCAATGCAGAAGATGACTGAAGGAAAAAAGAAGTAACACAAGGAATTCGAGATAGCCATCTCGTTATATAGATAGATATCGCTCCTAGAAAATCGTTTCTCCAACCCCTGTTCACCGGCTGCAAACAGTATAGTTCATGTTGCATCTTTCAAATGCCCAGGAAAATGGCAGAATGTAATGACTAAACTGCTGAGATTTGCTCAGCGCTGTCAGCTTGACATATTTATCTGCACCACTGATGTACATCGTCTGCGGTCTACTCTCAAGCAACAATGATCCATCACTGCATACCATACTCCTAGTAGTATCCAACACCTTTTAGCTCTGGAGGGCTAGCTTTCCGGGCGTTGTCATTTCCTCCCAAGGACACGATTCTCCCTGGAGAACAAACACGCAGATTGGTAGTTAGGTAATCCTGGGCTTCTACAGTCTTAATTGGATGTTCGTTACGATCATCGTAGTCGACTACTTGTACCTCCCACCCTATGAGCACTTCTACTATGCTATATAGTATTGGTGCTTTAATGTACAACTTAAAAATGTACTATAACATTAAATGTATAAGTTTAGGTTGTACCATAAAGCAATTTGTATCATTATGTTATGGTACAACTTTACAACTTGAAGTTGTACCATCACATAAAGGTACAAGTTCAAGTTGTACCATAAAAGAATTTGTACAAAAAGTATAGGTACAATCTGAAGTTGTACCATAACGTAAATGTACAATTTTAAGTTGTACCATAAATGCATATCCCTATAGGACCAATACTATATAGCATTGTAAAATTTCTCCCCACCCTAATTAAGTTTTATAAGGTCTACAATCTTCACATCATTTGATAAAACAGGCCAACAATTATATATGACAACCCTGATTCACTAAGATAGCAGTTCAACTCGGCTCCTTTAAGTGCATGCACATAAAAGAGAGAACAACTATTAAGGAACACTTTTTTTGTGGTTGAATACTGCGCAACAAGGTTTGAAAGTTGAAATAGCACGGACCTGACCGGCCCACGAGGACAATTCTTTTGATAAGATTACAAACAAACATTTGGTTATTAAACTGTGGATCAAGGATCAAAACCTTGTTTCCCAGGGGGGAAATGGTACCAGTATCAATCACAACTGTATGGAATGATTCTTTGTAGCTGTTCAAACTTCAAATAAAGACGAGAAGAATAGGGATACCATTTCGACGAATAGCAATCTCTCTTACACGGCGCACGAGGCCAGTTATCGGATCCGTGAATATTTTGGTCTCCAGATTTCCCTCCAGATACACAATTGACCTGAACAAAACAATTGATGGGGAGAAAAAAAACAAAAAAGATTAATATAAATGTTGGCTCGAGGGCCTGAAGTTTAACTCAGAGGTCAAGCCATAATGAGTTCACGCAACTAGCTTTACAACGATCAGCAACAAGTTGAATTATCACTTGCTAAGCAACCACATTTCCAAGAGTAACTGGAAATGGTATTTCCTTCAGCCAAACATGGGTATTCAATTGTTTCCAATTTCATTGACCAGAATAAAAGAAATTCCACAATGTAAATAGAAACCCTAAGGTCTAATAGCAGTGAGTGAAACATAAGCCTGAATCAAACTATGTCACTAGCATTCCAAATCAGTGCAGAGTTTCAGAAAGCAAGAACAACATTTAGCACACCAGCTCGTTTTGATCATATACAGAGTTTTGATCCTTTTTTTCCTCCATCTAAAGACTCTTGATGGATAGAAAACATACATCGCAGCTTTGAACAGCATGGTAGCCAAAAAAAGTGTATATTCTAGGACATGAGAGAGAACATATGTATGCAGAGGTAAAAGAAACAAAGTCAGAATCACTAGTTGGCATTTTTTTTTTTTTTTTATAATGGCGAAAATATATTAACACAGATAAAGGAAGGAACATACAGGTTCAACAATGACAGAGAACGGAAAAAAGGAAAGGAAAAAGAAGGGATCATGAGATCTGATCCTAACTGCAAAACAAAACGGAAAAAAAGAACAGCAGGTGAGAGGCGTTAACCGGGTCGAACCGGCCCTACGCCCTCAACCGAACTCACTACAAACACAGCGCAACAGAGCAACTAAAAAAGGAACACATCAGACCTGGAGATACAAAAACACAAGCCAAACGGAGCTCTACGCAACACCAGACACCCCCTCATCCTCAACCAGTAAACCAACGTTATGATCATAGAGGTTTTCTTCCGGAATTAGCTGAGTACAAGCAAGAAGGATCATGCTAGACCATTCTCTCCGCTGAAGATCGCTTAACACCCCAGTAGAAGAAATCGAACTGAGGAGTGACCTGCAGATTTTGATCAAAACAGCCTGCGGATGCTTACCCTTTTCCTGGAAAATTCTAGCGTTTCTTTCTTTCCAAACTTCCCAAGTGAACGCATGAAGAAGACCCTTCACAAACCAGCACTTCCAGGTCCTCTGATTGCCCGCAGGCCAGCCTCTAATGACCAAGGAAAAATCTGTAGGAAAGGGACCAACAATCCCAAGCATATGCTGAAGCCGCACCCAAATTCTTCTGCTAAAAGAACAGCAACTGAAAATATGATCGCTGGTTTCTTCCTCAGTTTCGCATAAAGCACACCTGTTCGATATAAACCACCCCTTCCTTTTCAAATTGTCCTGTGTAAGAATGCGTTTGTGTACAACCAGCCAAAGAAAAGCTTGCACTTTCGTGGGAATCTCCTGTCTCCAGATAATGCCAGAGGGAAAATCCCCTTCGCCATTAAACCTTGCTTGGGCGAGGACGTTGTACATGGACTTCACAGTGAAGCCATTCTTCACATCCGGGCGCCAAATCAACTTCGCAGGACCTGAGGAGGACTGAGACCATCATCCGGGCGCCAAATCAACTAGTTGGCATTATGACATCAATCCGACCATCATCCGCAGGACTGAGACTGAAGTCATATAGGCCGCTTAAAGATGGTCAACCTTAGTAGTCTATTCCTAACCACATCATGAACTCTACAATATAATAGCAATATCAATACAACATCACTCCCCAATACTCTGTGACTCATATCTTATACAGTTCTTCATGCCAGCTAGAGCATTGGTGAGTGATCTTCTCCCCATCGACACGATTAGGAAGTGATATCGCCATTCGATTTAACTAGCACTAGGAGCTAACTAATGATTATTCTACTACCAGTTCAGTGGAAGACGATAGAAAAAACAAGAATGGAGCACTTTGCAGCAAGAAACTCACCCGGGCACAATATTTTTCATGACAATATCGCCCAATCTCTCAGGGTAAACCGAGACACGATGCCATTGAACAGCACATCGATTCTCATAATCTCTGGGCTCCTCATTATCCAGAGGCCTACGGTTATTGCGAATCCCTCCCGTTCCCAGAGAGAGCAGAGTCACCGTCCTCCCTCCCTTCAATTTCTTCTGAAATGGACTCTGCCCCACCTTACCCACCAATATCGCCTGCACGGGAAATCCACCAACAATCAACGAAAAAACCCTCCAAAAGAAAAGAGAACAGTTCTGACATTTCGATTCAAATCGACCTTATAAACGCCGATATCGATGCCACCCTCAAGTGGGCGATCAAACACCACCGGTTCGCCGGCGAGGGGCGCAGTAGATGACGGCGACGGCGGAGAAGAATCAGCGGCAGGGTTGGGAATTGACTCGGTCTCTGCGTCTGAGTGCTCGGAAGAGGAGACAGTGGTTGTGCAGAAAGGCATGGAAATCTGAGACAATTTGGAGCTTGAGAGAAGGGAGCGGTAGAGCTTGCGCGAGACAGCAGCCATCGAACTTGCCATTTTTTTTTTTTTTTGTGCTCGGGAGAATTTGCAGAAATTTAAACCATAGAGAACTTAAACCCTTAACTGTACCGCGGAGTTGGGGTAATACCAGTTAGGGTGGGCGTTCGGTTCGGTTCCCGAACTGGTATACCCCGATTTTCCGAACCACAACATTCCTCAACCGAATTCGAACCGAGCTATAATTCGGTTCGGTTTTATACTCCAAACCGAAAAATGTATGCTCTGTCCATTTTTGTGCTTTTGTTCTGTCTTCTGGTCGCTGGGCCAGATGAGAGGGGATTCTTTTATTCTTTACCCTCTCCCTCTCTCTCGGCTCACCCCACCAACCATGGTTGTCATGCCGATGGCATGCCACCCGGTTCAACCTGTGCCGGTCATGAAATCGGCATGACACCACCGGCATGACCGGTATGATCGACTTACGCATTGTAAGTAAAATGACATCATTTTAATGAATTTAATGAATAAAAATATTAATTTATTATTGAATGTAATAGTTAAAAGTTGATGATATTTGTTGGATTGTAACTAAATTGTCCACAAATATGTTTTATATATGATTAAATACATTGGATATTAATTGTTTTCACATTTTTTTAAACCGGCATGAACCGACACAAACTGGTTATACCACCGGTCGTACCAGTCCACTTGCCAAACCGGCACAACGGTATAAACCGGTTTGACAACCTTGCCACCAACACAACCTTTCCCCAATATTCTTCTTCTTTACTTTTCTCTCTCACTCTCTCGCCCAGCAAACAAGCTTCCCATTCCAATTTCCAATCCAAATCCCATTGCTCCTCACATAGTCTGATATCACTGCTTTATCTCCTCTCCCTCAAATCTGTTATTCTCATTTTATCCTGGTGGGTCAACGCCATCTATGGAGAACGACTTCCCTCTCCGCATCTACCCCTCTCTCCGCCTGTCTCCCGCTGCCGACATTATCTCCCTCATCTCTGCTTCTCGCTCTCTCTGAAGAATCCACACAAGACGTTCGCCAACAATCCCTCTCTCCGCCTCTTCCCTCTCCATTCTCTCCCTCGATTTTCGACCTTCCTCTCAGCCTCTACTAACCGCTCTTTGCTCCGCTTCCAGGTCGAATCAGGTGTGGAATAAACTTTGCATGTCAGGGAGCTCTTCTCCTCTTCCATCGTGGTGTCTGCATGAAGAAGAAGATGGCGGTGCGATGGCCAATCTGATGGCGGACGGCTAGGCGGTGGCGGCTGCTATTTAGAGAGGATGGGTGGCGACTGCTGTGATGTGAGGTTAGGGTTTGGAGAGGATGGGGTTGGCTGTGGGCTAGAGAGTTTCAATGGGCTGGGTTTCAGTGTGGGCTGGGTTTCAGTGGGCTGGAGAGTGGTTGTGGGTGGGTTTTAGTAGGCTGTTGGCTATATTTCGGTTTTCGGTTCGGAATTCGGAATTCCGGTTTCGGTTGAGAGCCTCCTGGTTTCCGAAGTAACCATTTTCCTCTTCCGAATTCCGAACCGAACATCAACATCTCGGTTTCGGTTCGGGTCGGGTATTTCTTCTTCTTCCTTCCTGCTCGAATGAGTCTCGGGTACGGGTCCGACCCAACCCGACTTTTTACAGCCTGTTTGGATACAATTCCATAAGAAATGGAAATAGAATTTTATTTCCAATTCTAACTTTTACGGAATTCCATTTCCAATTTTTATGTTTGGTATAATTCTCATAACTATGGAAATGAGTTGTACTTTTAACCATTATTAATAATTTTGTATATATTTTTTATCTTGAGAAATGAGATATAAATGAAAGAGAAAGAGAGGAGTATGATAGTGGAGTGATAAAATAACAATAAATATATATGGGTTCCACTAATTTCATCTCCATAAAGCCAATTCCTATCACTTTTGATAGGAATTCTAGTTTCCATAATTTTGATCAAATGGAATTCATTTCTCAACTTTCATACATTTCCAAACATAGAATAATGAAATAGAATTGGAAATGAAATTCTAATTCCTGAGTTTTTTGTCTATCCAAATAGGATGTTAGTGTATTATTAGCCCACTTCGACTCCGTGGCATAGTTAGTAAAATACGATACGGGAAAGTTATGTAAAAAATATGTATGGGTATTATACTTCGTCTCTAAACTAAAGTTACGTTTAATAGTACGTTAATAGTCACAAATATATAAAATTAATCATTTTAAAAATAAATAAATATATATATAAATAATAGTGAAGTTAACAATTTAATTTGTAAAATACGGATAATAAACATGTTATATGGGTTTTATACGTGTTTAGTACGGGAGTCATCAAATGAACGGAGAAAAATTAAACGGCTTAACAATAATACGAATACGAAAGTTTTAGCCGGATTACACATACATGTATTAAACGGAGTATTTACTAATTACTAACTATCCTCCGTGGTGGCAAGGCAACCGTGTGTCCATGCTCATGAATCTCAGACTCTGCTATGGATCATAAATGTTTCATGTTCGTGCTCGAATCGAGTCAGATCGGTCCAGTGTCAGCTACGATTCAAGCTTATTCATTTGGTTTACGCCGATAATTTGTTAGTCTTCTCCAATGGTTCCTTAGTTGCGCTTCAGTTGGACCCTAATGTGACTCTCTCTGCATTTGTAACCAAGCATGATCCCATATTTGAAGCTCAGGGTTTTTAAGGCATCTGATCTGAGGCTACATCTTTGTGCGGTTATCAATGACTGACCTCTTTGCGTTCAGGTTCACTCATCTTCTCACCCCAAAGCATCCATATTCATGGATAGCTGATCTCACTAGAATATTGCAGAATTGACTGCAAGGGTAGGCATTATAATTATAAACAAGGAGAGATTGCCCTTGAAGGCTGAAATCAAGGTGCGAATGACAAAAGTTTACAGACTTCTGAAGCCTTTTTCTCATTGACTTTACACAGTGGAATCTTACACTTTCAGACGAGAAATACACAAAATAAACAGGGGCAAAGAGAGACAGAGACTGTAAGGTTTGTGGTACAACGAAAAAGATATGGCGGTTTCGGTTTGATGAGAACTTCCGTGTTGAAGAATGAGCCCATACTTACAGTTTGTGAAGGCACATTAATGATTTAGTCAAAGCTTAGCTTTACTTGAGAAAGCATAGCACGCCAAAATTGCTCAATAGCTTTTTGCATAGGTAGCAAATCGTTCCAGCCCGCGACTGAGCAAGCTCTCAAGAAAAGGTTGCAGGGCCTGGAACAAGAGCATGCATCAAAATGATTAATTAGTTTCTAACAGGATGTATGGCTTATCAGTTCTTGTCAAGCAAAAGAAAAATTCCCTTTCAGACAGTTCAGATTCAGTTGGTCGTTTAGAGGTGCTTACTGATGCAACTGGAATCAGAATTGGAGGTACTTCGTATGACACGGTTAGCTGAACATGCAATTAAAAGAGAGTATAGTCAAGCTTAAGTTGTAAGTGTCCCGGAAAACATCGCATCATCGCCGTGGAAATGGCCAAAAGCTAAGTAAGTATTTACTATGTAAGGGCCTTACTTCTACTACACATGATGTAGGGCCTTTGGGGAAGAATCGAACAGCACCCCTGCGCAGTAATAAAATCAGCAGCAAACCAATATCATGAAGAACACACAAGATTGTCCAATTGAAAGAAAAAAAAATTAACATGCTTGCAACTCGTTTTTAATGTATGTGCTACTGGAAGACGATGAATCGAAGTCAGGTTCCTATTTCTGTGCTTATTGAGGAAATGCTTACTAACTACAAGTTTACAATTGATTGCTCATATAATGCAACCCCGCAACTAACTGAAAGTTTCAAGTATATTCTGTCAAATTACCTGTTTGGTAGACCATCCAAAGATCTCCAATGAATTTTTTGATTTGGAGTAGGCTGGAGAAGTCAATCACAGATTGCCAAATAAATAAACAAACTTTTCACACAAAACCAACAATTCGCTGAAATCAGAAGAGAAGCACAAGAACCATATATACCTGCAAATTTCGTGCAAGCCAAGAGAATTCGATATCACGACCAAATGCTTTATATTTCAACGACCACCGTGATAAGTCTGGCTTGTCTTCCAATATCTAAACAAGATGGCCAATATCAACTTATGCTTAAACATCCAATCTCGGACCAGATGATCAGTTAACAAACTACTACCAACAACACCGCACAACATTTGGCCCTCCTAAACTATATCAGATTAATCCGTTTAACCAATATGGCAATTTATCAAGAAAAGGAGTGGCAGGACATTCAAAGTTGTGGTGAGCAAATAAAGTCCTACCAACCATCCACTTTGGCCACTATGCTTTAAGTTCATAATGATAGCTAATCAAGTTAAAATTTCCCACACCTGGACAGAGGAGATGAAGGGCATCCAATTGGCAATGGCTTCACGATCAGAGTAGCAGTTATAAGCAACAGAAGCTGGGACATCGATTTCCGCCTTCACTCTGCAACATCAATAAGAGTTTAAGCCCAAAATTGCAATCAAAGCGACTGGACAGCAAATGCCCACAGATCAATTGAAGGAGCCGTGGTTCCCAACTGAAGAACCAAGGGAAAAAAGACTTACGTGCAGTCCTGCCACTCCATGACAGGAGGAGAAAAGGGTCTGAACCTTGTACGGTATAATGATCTCCTCCTGCACAATTCGTACTGAATCCCCAACAGAGTTTTGCTAAAAGACGGAGTCTTTATGGTCGAGATGTTGCAAGCGCCAATGCAGCAATTAATGGCGGGATGGATTAGACTGAGAGGAGATGGAGTCGAGCCTGAAATTAAGGCAGAAGCCACCATTTTTTGGGTAAAAAAGGGGTTTACTTTCAAAGGGGGGAGGATTGTGAATACCCTTGACCACGGTCCTCAGAAGTCAGTGAACTGTGAAGCCTTCACTTCTTCGTAGGACTCCGCCTTTCCCCTTCTCTGGAAAAAACAAAAAAGAAAGGGAAGCAAGTGATGCTTTTTCAGCCACTGGTGCAAAAACTGGAAATTAGCATTAAATGCCAA